AGCATATCACGTACGAATATATTGCACGCAGCAAGAGCTGCGGTCACCTGACTGGTTAGAGGACAGCTATAAGGACTTGACGTCATCATTCCTAGCCACTGTGCACCTACCCGCCAGCCACCACCGGTATGGTTTATGTAAAGTCTAGTTAACTGTAATGAACCTCCAATTCAGCGATAACTATACGTGGTCAAGGTATATTAAAACTTGTTTCCAAAACAAAAGAAAATAGAACAAATTAATCAACCTGAAACGCAAGTTTGCATGGCAGTGATGGTTCATATTGTGGTCTTCTCATCTGCCATATAGTCTTGTTAGTGGTTATTAATGTTTCGAAGAAACCTGCAGTCTCGTCCCTAGATGAAGATAGCAGCTTCCTCCGAAACACTGATAACCAACTACGAGATTATGAGCATCATAATTCGGAAGACATTACCTAACCTCAGAAGACATATACAAAGTTATACTTACCATTACTGGAGTACGGGCAAGAATATCATTGCAGATATATAGCTTCTTGTTTAATCAAAGCAAGTGCCTTAATTAGGTTCACAAACTTCCTACGATTTTTTTATGTAATTCTTTAAATCGACACTTGAAAATTTTGCTATTGTTAGGCATATCGTACGGCATTTTATACTGATGTGCACGAAAATTCACTACTATGATTTTGTCCGTTACACAAAGAAAATGTCATCTAATATCACAGTATACAATCCATAAAACATCACGATAAAGTCTTTCCTACCGGACGGAAGAGCTAGTCTTGTCTTTACCAAAAACGCGCACTAATTCATCACTCTCTTACCGCCCATAACCACTGTCACGGCCTGGCAACTCAATGTTATTGGCTGACAACGTAGCCACCGTGATATCACGAATTTCATTATGCTGCCATCTATTTCCAGCGTTCAGGTTATCGCTGCAAATTGGCCGCGATCACTGCCGAAATCTCAGTCTTTATAATAGTTAGCTACTATCCACTATACTGGCCTATAAATACTAGACCTCCCGAATTCTGAGTTCAGAGAATAAAAATGAATAATTTTGCCATCCTGATCTCTTGTCCTGCAGCAGTTCATACTTAACTTTTAGAAATGCATCTAACTAATATCACTTCATTCAATTATCAGGAGAATATTTCTCAGCAGTGCACATTTTATTTACATCAATTAAACATACCCCCTCGTTTGTGTCTCCACCTTATCGTGGGGAGGGGGTTTGAGTATGCCAAGGACCCTGAGAGCTATACCAGCGGTAGCGTAGCTACTGGCAGGGCCTCCCTTGCTGGACAGGTCAAAGGGTAGGCATCAGACGAAGAGAGACACCAAAAACCAAAAACTGATGCCGGAAGCAGCGTCATCAGCAGCGACTTGAAGCACAGAGCAAATGATGCTCGAGATGGTTCAAGTTCGTATAGCAACAGGCGTGACCAGAGAACAATGTCTGTTGTACTGCGATGTGGAAAGCAAATGGAAAAACTACCACATTATCACTTTTCCTGGATAGTCTCTTTCCAAAAACAGAGATACCATGTATGCGACCAGAAGACGAGGAAAAGATGTAAGAAGATGCTGGATGACCTTGGGGAAAGCTCTAGATCGCATTAAGTGGAGAAACTGTTTTGGAAGAAACTGTGGACCTGTCGTGTGGCAGATTACTGATGATGAAATTCAACATACTGAAATACACTAGATACTGTGATCTCAAACATATATAGAAGACAGAGTCATAAGTGTTCAGGAATGCTGAAATTGGGTAAACTTGAATGAAAATTCTGTTTCCATTGGAGATATCTGTATTCAACCTCACAACTCTGTTCACAACTTATACCTGAAAGTTTAATAAAATATAGCTTTTCAGGTACATTAGTGTATTATACATTATGTATAGCAAGCAATAATACTGAGGTTTGCACATATTATTATATGCAGTTGTGTGATGAAACTCAGGAATCTGAAATACTCTTGTTACCAAGCTAAACTTTAAATAATATACCAAAAGAATACAATAATTGCAAAATTATGATGAACCTTATAAATATGAGTTATACTCACATTTGCGAGTTTAATATTGAATGGAATAATGTAACCAAAGTAATAAAATAATGAAGTAACATAAGGAACCTTTTGAATCTGAAATATACTCATGTTTACAGGTTTGATATTGTACATACATACATACATGCATATAGCATTCCATAGATCCCTATGTTAGTCAGAAAGACCATAGGCTGTGGAATTAGTCAAAAAATCATACAATACATATACACAAACAAATCAAACTATTGCAAAAAATTTTACCAATGAAAACAAAGTCACAATAGTAGTAAAAGGTTCACAAAAGTAGTGAAGTGTCAATAAAATCCATACATTACATACACTTCGGGTTATTCGAAAGCATAAATTCCTCAACAGAGTAAAAGGAGTGTGTAATTAAGTATCTCTTTAGCGCTGCTTTAAATTGTGCCTGTTTATCTACAAGAGCTGTAATATTTGATGGTAGACTGTTGAAGATTTTTATGCCAGCATAATATGCACTCTTCTGGAAACATTGGAGGCTGACAATTGGTCTATGAAGCTGATTTTTATTCCTTGTGTTGACAGTGTGAATAGTAGAATTAGTTGGAAAGAATTCTTGGTTTTTTGCAATGAAGATCATTAGGGAGAATATGTATTCACATGGTAGAGTTAGGATTTCTAGTCTCTTACAAAGATTTTTACATCAGTCTCTTGGTTTAACACCAGCCATTAATCTAACAATTTTCTTTTGTAAGATGAATATCTTTTTACCGTAAGATGAGTTGCCCCAAAAAATTATACCATACTTAATTACAGAGTGAAAATAGGCGAAATAAATTGATTTGAGAGTCTCAGTATTGCTGACATGAGACATACACCTAACCGCATAGCACGCTCCACTTAGTTTAGGAATCAACTTATCTATATGGTCTGACCAACTTAGGTGGCTATCAATTTGCAAGCCACGGAATTTCATATTTACTGACTCTTCTATATATTTTCCATTATATCCAATATTTAAAACATACTGAGGAGTATTTTTTGTTGTAAATTTCATTACTTTTGTTTTATCAAGATTTAGGGAAAGTCTGTTTGCATTGAACCTTTTATTCGTGTGAGAGAGTGCTCTGTTAGACATTGCAATGAAACCATAAAAATTTTTACTAGAAATTATGACACTTGTATCATCAGCAAATATTATGGCTTCTCATGAGATATTTATTATTGGTGGAAGGTCATTTATATATATTATGAAAAGCAAGGGTCCCAGGATGGATCCTTGGGGAACTCCATGTTTTCTTGTTCTCCAGTCTGAGAAGAAATTCTGACTGTGTTTAGGCGATTTTATTTCAACCTTTTGTTTTCTATTTGTTAGACAGGATTTGAACCATTTTAACACTGTCCCTCGAATGCCATAGAATCGTAGTTTACTTAACAAAATTTCATGATTTACACAATCAAAATCCTTCGCTAAATCACAGAAAATTCCTCCCATATGTTTTTTTTTTTTTTTTTAATGGATTTTAAGACACTGTCTGTTAGCTTGAAGACTGCATCTTCAGTGGATATACCTTTCCTAAAGCCGTATTGCTCTGGGACCAATATGTTGTTACAATGCATATGCTGATTTATCCTACTATACATGACTTTCTCAAGTACCTTAGAGAAAGTAGATAATAATGAAATCGGCCTATAGTTCGTCATACTATACTTATCTCCTTTTTTGAATAGTGGCTTTACTATTGAAATTTTTTGGCAGTCTGGGAAAATGCCTGTGTATAATGAGTGATTACAAATGTGAGCTAAAGGGCAACTAATTAAATCAGAACAAGCTTTCAGAACTTTACTTGTTACTTCATCAAAACCTGACGAGTTTTTTGGTTTCATGATGCGTATTATATTCTTTATCTCAGCTTCATTTGTTGGGATGATTTTGATACTAGGAAAATTTGTAGGAAACACAACTTTCAAAATTGACAAAGCATTTTCATTTCCCATCTGATGTAAATTTAAGCTCTCAGCAATTGTTAGGAAAAATTTATTGAAGTCGTTGGCAACTGTTTCTAGATCCTTTGCTTTCTCAGATTTAGCCAGAAGAGATGGCATCTCTTCAGATAAATGCATTTTTCCAGTCTCCCTTTTAATTATGTTCCATGTCATTTTTATTTTATTTTCTGACATTGCTATGAGTCTGCTATAATGCTGCCTTTTAGCTTCTTTTATAACATTTTTAAGAATTTTACAGTACTTAACATAAAATGCTCTTATATTTGGATTATTACTATTCCTACTGTTAACATATAAAGTCCTCATATGTTTGCAAAATATTTTTATCCCTTGTACGATCCAGTCATTCTTTAGTTCGCACACATTTTTGTATTTAATTGGGAAACTGGCTTCAAAAATATTTAGAAAAGAAGACAGAAACAAGTTGTACTTATTATTGGTGTCATTTTCCTTATAAACACGTTCCCATGATTCTCTTTTTAGAAGGAGCTGAAATTGCTTTATTGATTCACTGTTTATTTTTCTTATTCTCTGCTTCTGATGTATAAAGTTACCTGCTACAGCCAAATTGTCCATCACAAGAAACTGTGCATCATGATCAGATAGGCCATTTATAATGGGAGATGTGGAGGAGGAGCTAAATCTTGTAACATCAACAAAAATAGTTATAATGTAACCAAAATATCGAAAGAACATAATATAATATTTTGCAGTATTCTAGCTGAATCAACTGTGCAGGACATCCCTACTTTTCCTGCCCATATCACAGCACTGTAAAGGTAGAATATATTGTCTCAACAGCCAGAAATAGTTTATTAGTAAAAAGGTAAAAAAAAAAACTGCCCATGGATGCCCATAGGATTGTGAGATGTCGAGGTTCCCACATTTTCTAGACAGTCTGCTCACAGATGGCAATGAGAATATCAGCCTGCCGCCCTTTACTCCCACGAAGATTTCTGGTACTCATTTCTGTTAGAGGCTACTTCTTGCATGTCAATGGTATATTTATAGGTCCATACTTCTCTAACTTCACTGAGGGAGGTGGTATACAGTAACTTGCTTCATACTTTTCTCTGGTTGCTGTTGAATCAACTCACTTTGCTCAGCAACAAAGTCTAACAAAGTTGTTTGCTCGTCTAACACAAGATGACTGTTTGAAAAGCTGTCATTCTGTATAACTGCGACTTTTGATTCTCCTAATGGAAGGATAACAAGGTTTTCTTGGCTAGTATCACTGTTGCCTGCCACACTAATATGAGTCACAGTGCTAAGTTCATTTGATTTATATTGCATTACATTATTTAGCAATGTTCCAGTATGCTGGTTTGCTTCTGCAGTGGAGACAAGACCATTTACTAAGGTTAGAACTCGGTGTATTTTGCTATCTTCTAAATTGTATCCACTTATTTGAAGCAAAGTCTTTTCCATATCAGTGCCTGCAAGTGTTACTAGATGGCATACCTCCTGCTTGCTTCCACTAATATCACCTGCAAGATCCACTATTGTCTGCACTTCATCACTTGTCAATCCAGAGCCATCTATGATTGTCACAGCCTGCTCTGACTCAGTATTTCCAGAAATCAACTGATGTGCAGAACCCACAACTGCTTCAGTTACCAGAGCACTCCCAACAAGCTCTAGACTAGTCGCTGTTTCTGTCTGTTGAGGAGATTCATACCCTGACAGAGTGGGAATTTGAGTTTGTTGCCCATCTACACAACCATTCACTGTATCCTGAGTGCAGGGAATATTTTGAGATACTAAATGTTCTGACAGGTCAGGGACATCCACCAACTTGTCAGCATCTTCTATAACAGGACAATTTTCAGGTACCTGTGCAGAATAATATGTCTCTATATTCTGCTCATCTGAAGCTGGAAATGGCCCCAGTGTTTTCAAGGCTAAACTGATAATTGCTTCAAAATCAGCTTCTGATGGGCCATTACATAAATTTTTAAAGCTTTCTCCTGGATGGGACTGCTTAAGATGTAAGTGAAAAGTCTGACGATATCGGGTCCTGAAAAATATCAGTGTTACCTGTAAAAGGCTGGTTGGTTTGTACATAATTTGAAATGACAGCAATGTATCAGCTACTGTGTCTTTCTACTATTGTCTGGGCCACAATTTAGAACTCAATTCAGGATACTGAAGTGAAACCACTTCCCACCAAAAAAATGGATGCAAAAAGAAAAATCTTTTTCTTCCACTCCTGACAAACTATCACTCAATTTATTTCTTTTGGCCTACTACTCTTTCATAGCAAAAGAGAGTAGGCTTGAGAGACTACCATTCTGCCTGTGTGTCCTGACCTTCAACTTTCCAACCAGCTGACTGATCTTCACAGAACACTGAGTCAACATTATAACACTGGAGACCACAACAAATTCTGTACTCTTTAACTTCCTACGATCAGTAATAACAACATGGTTGATATGTGAATTTATGAGGTCAGAGCAATACAAACACTGTTTAATTCAGGAACTGGATATTTAAACACTTAACTTTTTAAGGTAATTTTTCATACAAAGTAAAATAAAAACATTCTGTCACATGCGAGTTTTCTTTAGTGTTTCATCTGATGGCAATAACCAATGAACCATTTGAAATAGACGTGTGAAATTTTGCATGGACATCATAAACATACCTAGACATTATGAATGAAATATTGATTGCATGTCAACAATTACAAATATGACGAAAGTGCCAATCTCTGAAGTTACATCTATAAATGTATAATTGACAGACTCTGTACATAAGTAGCAAATTCTTCACAAACCAAAACAGAAAGCAATAATGATCATAGTAGATTTGTGATATTTTATTTAAGCATCCTATTGCACTAACTTATCACTTACACACAAATATATTCCTGTCTCAAATGCGTCTCAGCCATACCCAGCCATCATCAGACAACTGTTCATCTTCTTTTCTTTTTTCCTTTATTGCTAGGGGGTGGGACTAAGTCCCTTGTACCCTTGTACTGCAGCCACTTCTGGCCTATCATACCAGGCCAAGATGATAGGTGAGGGTGATTGTGGAGCAATTGGTGGAATGAAGAGTGGCACGAGAAACCGAAGTACTCAGAGAAAACCTGCCCCAGCACCACTTTGTCCACCACAAATCCCACTTGACTAGACCCGGGATCGAACCTGGGCCACTGCGGTGGGAAGCCAGTAACTAACTGCTTGAGCTATGGCGTGGCCCACTGTTTATCTTACTAAAACCGTTACACTATATATTCCACTGTATTTAAAATCAATTAGTTCCAAATTAAGATATGTCAATGTCATTCCATTTATTGTCCTTACTGTACATCTTTGCTCCCCTTATAAAACCATGATGGTTATACCAAACCTATTTTCTGAACCCTGCAAGCAAACTGACAAGAATGTAGCAAATACCTGCTAGAATGGGCTTACAAGAGAGATTTAGTGACAGGATACAGCTCCAAAGAACATCATATCTGTTCTAACTCTCCACAGACAACATAACAATACTGCTTAATTACATAAAATCAAAATCTCAAAAATCATCCATCACAAATGTAAATTTAAGCTTTACTTACGTGTAACTACACCCCTTGCAAGAATATAAATGCAAATCTGTATGAGATGGAAGATGATGTTTCATAAGGACTTGAGTTCTGAAAGATTTCTTGCAAACTGGACATATATGCCTAGAACAATGATTAGAAAAGTTTAGATTCTTCACAATTCATTAAGTTTTTGAAATGAGAGCAAAATAAATAAAGCCTTCATACCTGTTCTTATCTTGGGTGTGGACTATCCTCTCATGATCCAGGAGCTGTCTCCGTTTCAGTCCACGGTATGGGCAGTGCTTGCATGCAAACTGTCGATCATCTGGAATATGGCAAATTCTTTCATGTCTATCTAATCCAGCCTGAGTTAAGCTGCTATAATCACAAATGTTGCACTGAAAATCATAAAATCCCTCATTATAGCATAAAACTGACCATACCCAAACTGTTAATACAATACTGTGTACACTGATGTATCTTAGTTTCTTTAATGATGTTTTCTCAAGTGTATAGCTTATATACCGTCAAATGGCAGGGTGAATGTGAATCATGACTTACAACAGACATGAAGGGAGAAATCCACAAAATAGTTTAAGGCGATATTCCAGCATTCACCTGAAGGAATTGAGCAAAATTACAAAATCTTGGGCATGGTAACTGGCCTCTGGGTTGAGAAACTAACCCAGATCTCATAAAATATGAAACAGGAGTAGTAACGATTCACCTGTACCATTAAGCATTATTAATATAATTGCATAAAACTCGAAGTTCAAATACCAAACACTGGGTCAAAGAACAGTTTTCTATATCATGGCATTCCAACTGATGCATCCTATGCTGCATATGATCCATCATTTTATTCTGTGCAACACATGCAAGTATCCGCATACTACCCAACAAACGCATCAACACATTCCTCTTCTTTAAGAAAGGCAACAAATTAAGCTGGAAAAACTTAACAGAACGTGCTTACCAAATATTCCATGCAATTTTTCAGCCTATTTCACAAAACACTCAAAAAAACTATCAAGTTTTCCAACATACAGTACCCAGCATACCATCAAAATGGACCTTCAACTATGACTTTACATATCAAGACATAACTACTACATTCATTCATTCATTCATCCCAGTTATTGTTTAGTAATGAAGCGAGGAAAAACTGTATTTAATTTGTGCACTTCACCTTATATTTCTTCCTGTGGCTCCGTAACATATGTGATGCCAGACAATTTGTACTCCTTCCAGTATATTTACAGAATGTGCATGAGTAAGTTCTCAAAGGCTCATGAACTGTCCTGAAAAATGCAAAGAAAATATGTTTTATTGCTGGGCGTGGAGCTCTAACTCTAATGAATTTAAAACCACTGATGGCATGCTGACAACATGGGAAATATATGAGGGATGTTCAAATGAAACTTGTATAATCACATGGTGGTGTGCTTGGCATACCAGCAGTTGCCCATGAGCTGTACAACAGAATATGGAGTAGAGAGCAAATGGGAACAGTGTGACACCGTTGAATGCCAGTATTCCAGGTGCAGAATCTGTCCAAATAGGACCAATGAGCAGTCCAATACCATCCACAAATGGGTTTCATCTGAAAGACCCCCATACTCTAGGCAGTTTTCTTATGCACAGAATTATTTTCAGTAGCTAAAGACTAGACATATGTATTCCAAAGTGGATGGTAATTCACTACAGACACAAATCTAATGTTGCATAGCTATCACACTAGACGTCTGACACTGTGCAGGTATCTTTTAGTGTAGGTTCCCATCAAATTTAATCAAAATCTGTTTGGTAATTAAAGAGATTAAATATGGAGGCATGTAGATATATCATCTCCCCTTTAAGCATTAGTTCTATGTACTCTAAAATGAACAAAGTTGAAATATGAGAGGTTAACATGAAGATCTACTCACAGACTATGACTTTTAGGGTTACATATATAACATAATGAAAATAAGAGCTTAGGATGAACTGGGTATGTGCTATACAGATGACAAACTGTCATAATGTGTGGCTGCATACAGCTCTGCTTCCTTTTCTTGTATTACATTGAATAAAGAATGAATAATACATGGCAGGATAACTTTTATTTACTTGAAAGGAAGATGAACAAGCTTGAGAGTTAGAATATATGTTCTTGCATTATACAAGATACAACAAATATACACTAACATATATTTAAATACAGCACTGGTGCATAAATATAAAATGAATGGAATAATGTATGATTAATGTCCCCCTTTTACTCTCTTCTTATTCTCCTTACTCACAGTTTAATTTATTAAAATTGGCTATAAACAATAAACAGGTCCATGATCTGAAGCCTTCACAGAATCAGAATGTGCAATCAGTTGTGTGAAGGTGGAGTTAGTGTCCAACATTTTAGAGACAGAAACACAAGTTGTAAAGAAAATGTATCTACAGTACTCACTCAATGTGCATTTTCAGCCCTGAGAGAGACATAAATCTGGCACTGCAGTCTTCACAGTTGTGTAACTGGCGAGATTTGCAATGCATGTCTTTAAAATGATATTTCAAGTATATCTTCCTTGTAAACAGCTTATTACAAATTTTGCATTTGAACTTTCCAGTGTGGAGGTTTTGATGATAGTAAAGCAGCTTCGATGACTTAGTTGTGTAGGAACAATTTGTGCACCTTTAATAAGATTTTAATACAAATTATAAACAGCCTATTTACAGCCTTACCTGTTCCTTCTTTGAATCAGACTATACTAGATCAGTATTCTATTGACCCTGTGGGCACTTCATCAAGTACCTCACATGTAATTTGGGGCCTCTGTTTAAATGAACAATGCTACAAAATGTGAACAATTCAGATTTTTGGGCTAGTTCTTTTGCCTTCCACTATGCCCATGAGCCAGGTTCATTCTTAGTACATCAAAATATGAATACCTGACTAAAGATTATATCTGCATAATAATGAAAAGAATATTGGTGAAAAATGGAAGTAACTTTCTAAGATAGAAAATTATTTTATTTCTCACACAGATAGTATATGGGTGCATATATGCATGCAAGTATGTGTAGGTGTGCATACTTGCTTAATTAACTTGCACGATACATACGTATCTGTGAATGCTTCCCATTCACAAAATTACAGAGCATGTTAAGCAAAGCAGTCTATTTGAGAAGGAACTTTGGAAATTTTATGACATTCTTCCATACATATACTAGGATGAATATAAAAACTTACAAAATTACATCAGTATACATTACAAAAACATAATACAGCTTGATTAACTGTAAAGTCATAAATTGTATAAAGACATCTTACTTCATCTGAGTACCAAGTCCAAAGTAAATATTATTCTAGCAGCAATGTAGAAAGGTATGGGGTGAAGATGTGGACATGGCTATTGTGGCCCAGGGTCGGTACCAATGATCAACTGTTGAGAAGGCCGCACCATAGCTCAAGCAGTTAGTCACTGGCTTCTCATCATAACAGCCCGGGTTTGGTCAAGTGGGATTTGTGGTGAACAAAGTGCCGCTGGGGCGGGTTTTCTCCGAGTACTTCAGTTTCCCCTACCAATCTTCATTCCACCAAATTCTCCATCATCATAATCACCCAGGGCAGGTACAATAGTCCAATCAGTGGCCTCCATGCCGAGTCAACCCAGCTGGACTCCACCCCCACCCCCCTAACGAATTAAAAAATACCGTTGCAAATATGCTGAAGGACCTTAGGATTCACTGGGCTCAAGAAGGCCTACACCACAGAATCAGTGAGCAGTACAAATTGAATTGAGAAACAGTAATTTGATATATACAATAGCAACAATCACTTATACATACTTTAACCTTTAAGAGCCGAGCGACGCCATACGGCATCATTAAAATAAAATCAAGGGGACGAATGACGCCATATGTCGTCGCGCAGTCCACACGTGCAGCCGGCTTTTTAAAATCTAATTTTAAGTTATAAATTCTTTTTCTACTTACATGATTTTTGGTCACCAGCTTTATAAGTTGTCTCTCTTCCCACCTGCGTCATCTAACGGAATGTTGGCTTCGTGTGGAAATCTTGGAAACATCCGGAAATTCAGAGTCCCACATCACACTTCACGCACTTTATCCGGACGGTTCTTCATTTCCCACGCAAAGAGCACACTCGACACCTCAATTTCGAAGTAGAGGAAGTTGGCCAGTGCTGTTGTTTGGCCTCCTCTATTCGAAATGACCCCGATGAAACGGCAGGGGTTCGACCCCTGGGCCGTTGAGGGCGAGGGGGGCCCCTTCCAGCATGCTCCAGCATGTTCCGTACAAGGGCGAGACAAAATTCTCTGTGTGACAATTTCGCGCCACAGGATGACAACAGGATATAACTGTTCAGAATCGTCAGATCCAGGAGATGGAAAAATAATTTATTTGTCCATTTCCAGGTTCGACGACAGATGCTATAACTGTTTGCCATTCTGTCCGCTTTGTCGACATAACCCATGTGCTTGTTGTAGTTAGCAACAATTGCTGGCTTGATGGCATTTCCGTGCTCATCACAGAAACTGCCTTCTGCTGGAGGAGAGTGCATATTTGTCAGCATGTAAACGTCACGTTTGTCCTTCCAAACTAGTGCTGTCAAGTTCTGTCTCACCCTAACACGAATGTCCCCTTTCTTCAGTCGAAATTGTCTTCGTCGAAAATCGTCAGGCAAGCCCTTCCGATTAGGTCTGACTGTCCCACAGCACGTTATGTTCTTTGTCATCAGTTCGTCAAACATGTCGGGTGAAGAAAAGAAATTGTCCGTGTACAGTTTGTGAACTACGCCCTCAATATGTCTGCATAGGTCCCTAACTGTAGCATGTGTCACTGTCACGTCTTGGCTGGCACGTGTCCTGTCTTTTCCTAGGTAAACTTTCATGTCATAAGTATACCCAGCGGCGTCACAAATTTTGAAGAT